ATAAATAAAATACATATTTAAATATGTATATTAAAAAATAGTATTTTCAGGTCTTCTGATTTTTCTCCATTCATGAGAATCCAAGCACTGGAAGTCTGGGTGACAAAGTCAAGAGAGACACAGAACACAACTGCAGCTCAGCTCCTCACAGTGTGAGTGAGGGAGAGCTCCCCAAAGGTTCTTCATGAGCACAGCTCAGGACTCCTATAGGAATGGCCATACATGATCTACAGCAGCACAGAGTAGGGGACAGCAGGTGTAACAGCATCATGTACTTCAATTGTCCTAAATTCTGGGTCTTAATCACATATCCTGTAGCAGCATATGTGAAACATCAAATATATGAGAAATATTTCCTTCTAACAGTTTTGCATTTGCTACTTTAATTTCACATCCTCTTATTCCACTTATGAGACAGAAAATGAGAGCTTCTTTTCTACTTTATATTCATCATTTCTTCATTTTTCAATGCAGTCTTACAGTTCTTTCTAAAGAAAGTGTATTAATAACTGATATCAGATGAACAAGCTTGAATCTTTAAATTGTCATGATATAAAACGGCAGAGCATTCTCACTGACCAAAAGTCAAGAAAGCAGACTATGGGACACAAATGGCAAATTATTACTTGCATGTTAATCTGATCTGCTGAGTTGTTGCCCCATTTCATGCAAAACTGTCAGCTGTCAATCATTTGGAAATCAGACCAAACCAGCTCATAACAATTATGTCAATGATAGGATGAAGTGTGACTCCAAATATGGGAAGAGTTAATGGCTTGGTGTTATGAAGTTACCTCATGAAAATGAGAATGGATTCAAAGAACTGAACAGAATATGCTCAGGTAGATGAGGGTCATGGAATTTGGATGCTACTTGTTTTTCAAACACAACAGGCAGCAATATGATCAGACAACCTTCTCAGCAGCACTGGATCTTATCAAGAGCTGTATCTTTAGATCCTGTATAAATATGTGGCTGAACAGGGATTTTGCCCTACAGTATAATAAATTAAACATTTCTTTTACTGTTAAGCATGAGCGGTGTTTAAGACATAGGTGACACTTTGTCTCAGAAGCAAAGAAATTTCTTTGAATAGCCACAAGTAATTTTAAAGCATACACACTAGAACCCTTGGAAACCTCATATGTAATTTTGTGCAGAGGCCAGTGATGCCAGAAACATCAGTTCCTAACAGAAATTCATTTAACTTACGTAATTTCAAAAGTCTGTTTATAATACAATTTACTCCTGTAAACCAAGTACTCCCTTGTACACTGGAAGCTGGTATTGCCTGCCAACTCTTTTCCTTATCAGAATGTCTTTTTTAACATAATTTTTTTAGAAATTACATTGACCTTTACCATTTTAAATAGAATCTTTCATGAATAGAATGTACCATGGTGGGAATCTCTTTCAGGACTGCATTCCTGGATGTATTTTGGAGTCACTAAAGGATTTTAGCCTTGGTAGCAGAAAGACATCTCATTGAAAAAGATTCTTCACCATATAACAGAGAAGAAAGCATAGAGATCGAGTAAATGAATTAAAGTAAGATTGATTTCAAACTGAGTCAGCCAGAATTCATTCAACCTTGAATAGAAAAGTCCATCCAAGTAACACCCAAGCATTTTCCTAGAATGGAAATTTTTATCACCTGCTGGACTTTTTTAGCAACTGCATCTACTAGATAATAAATACTGTGTTAGAGGGTTTGGTAAAGAGGCATCATGTTCCAGTGAATAACATAGCCCAAAGATAAATGAATTATGAGACAACTAAATCTGCAGCAAATGGAGAAGCTCATTCAATATGGACTGAATAGGAATGATTAAATACCTCCTTACATCTGTGGCAACTGATATCAGCAAGGAGACTCTTATCTGGAATTCTCATTTGGCCAGAACATGTGACAGCATACAAAGCAAGAAAGCACATTTCTCATTAAATGAATACTCTGTCTTCATTGCCTAAAAATTGCCAAGGAATAGCAATTAAATTTTCTAGCATCTGAATCACTTTCTTGTCAATAAACATCATAGGAGAATAGTGCATTAGTGTCTCAAATGAGCTTGCTTCCTATTTCAAAGAGGGGTAAGGATTGATGAAAGCACTCAAAACAGATGCAAGAAAGTAATGATTAACTTGTAATGAATACCTCAGGAATAAATCCAGCATATTAATAATAAACTTTCCTGAGCAATTAAGAATGTGGAGGCCTAATGAAGCTACATGGCTGTGCATCTTCCCCTTCTCTTTGGGCAAGAGTGGTAATAGATGTCCTTGTGACTGAATACTGCCTATACAGGATGACAAAGTCCTTGTTTGATGCTGAGCAAATTATTCAACTTCAAGATTAGATGTGGTCCAAACCCATGTATTTATCATTTTTAGAACGTTTACCGTAAGATACAGAAACTTGGCCTGTAAAAGTGCTAAACACATGCAGACCCAAGTCACTGTTAGAAGCATTTTATTAATATAATGCTAATAAAACATTTTAACCATATAATGCTAAGAACTCTGAAACAGTGGCAGTCCAGTGGCTCAGACTGGATATTTAGAACTAACAGAAGACTTTGACCTTAATCTCTCTGTACCTCAGCTTCCCAACTGCAAAATGCAGATAATACCACTCTCTCATCTCACAGGGGATTTGTGAGGATAAACTCAGTCATGATTTTGAAGCGTGCTGATAGTATAGTGATAAACGCCTTAAAACCAGTACAACAGCAAATAGTTCAGTTTTTGGAGCACATGATCATAAAGAATAACAAATTTATGGAGGGACAATGAAAATATTGACTAGCTGCTGATTAAACAAACACGAAAGATACTGTGCACTCAACAAAATGACAGGTCATGGGAAAGCAGTACAGGATCACATAATCCAAGGACTGCATTACAGGGTGTAAGCACAGTGGAGTAAAATTAAGGTTGGATGAACAATCTTAACTCAGTAGAAGCTCTTAATGTTATAGACTTTGTAACAGCTTTCATCTTCTCCAAACTATCAATATAAATTTACAAGCAAATATATGTACACCTATATTTTCAAGATTACATTTAAATGCAGCTATACAGAGGTGGGCAAAGCCCCAGATACTTCATTATTCTTAGTTCATCCAGCTTGTTTCTGGAAGAAATTGTTTCCAGTGTATCCTTACTTCACCTTTTCAGAGAGTACTTCTTTCCCAAGGCTGCCTCAGGGTCCTGCTGACGGATTGCTCTAATTGCAGTTGGTGAAGTAAAGAAGGCAGCTACTTCATGCTCTGCTAGCACACGGAAATAGGCACCAGCATCTGGCGTTCCCACAGGCTTCCCCTATGGAGAGAATAATTTAAAATGTCACAAGATAAAAATACCTCATAATTTCTTGACAGTTCAAGGCTTGAACACATAACAGTAGTGGTAGCACAGCAACAAAAGTAGTTTCAAGACTTTAAAGAAGGCTTTGTTAAAAATAATAATACTGTGAGTGTATTCACTTACAGAAATGAATTCACAAGCTTTGGGCACGATCTCTTACACGAACACAGCACATACTAGCTAATATTTAGAAAATTAGGACAAATGGACATGCAAATGAAAAGATAGACACAAAGAGCTGGTTTTGCACTGCCAGCAGAGGGAGTCATGTTTACATCTGCCCGGATTGAGAAGTAGTCTGGAAAAGTCCCACAGTCCCTCTGAATAAGGAGTCTTTGGATACAGTGCCACTGCAGTTATATTCCCATGCACAGGCCTATGGGACATAATGGCAACTTTTTCTTACCTAGAAATTTATCTCAATTCTGGAAAACTTCCCACTTAGCTGCTTACAACTGGCTTCTTGGAACCATTGCGTGCCTAACCCATGTGAAGCCTAGATTGAAGCTGAAGATCTCTTTTCTGTTTTAGTGTGCAATCAGACTGTGGTCTAGTTTGGGGTTGGGTTTCTTTAAAAGAAACTAAACACTGTGTTGAGCTAAGGGGCATAGTCGAGCAAATTGTAAACAGAAGTAATCATTTATGATGAATTGTTCTATGTTAAGTAATTTTAATTTAAAAAAATAAAATTATCATTAATACTTCTCTGTATTGCTGAAAATATGAAAAGCAGTGAGCACAGGATCATACAGTCACAATCTTACTGTATGCAGTGCATGAACTGCTCCATACACATTCTGGGATTATTAAAAGATGATGTTTATGTAGAATGAGTTTTAGCTCTACCAGTATCACCACAACGTTTTCACTAGAAAGACACACTTAGAAGATGGACTTCGACAGAACATGCAAGACAAGAGAGACATACACCTTTCATATTGCAAACACAGCTTTGTCAATGCTTTATGCAAGAAGCCACAAACACAGAGAAAGTTTCACTACTGAAATGTCATAATCTTTTCAGCAGTTCACCAGTCACAAGACAAAGTCATACATTCACCACCCTCATGTAAACGCAAATTTGGAATAGACAGATTAATGGCTCCAGTGCAAAAAAACCCCAGCGTATTAAACTCTAATTAACACTTTTCACTTTATCAAGGTGCAAAAGGAACAGAGGCATTTAAATACCTTGAAAGAATTTACAAAATTCAGTATTTTTACTCTGATATTGAGGCAACACAGTAAATGCCTTTATGAAAACTCACACTAATCTAGTTAGTTGCCCCATCCCAGTATAATAAGCAGCATGCTCACTGTGATGCAGGTTCACAGCAATCCATCCCTTTCCCTCTCTCCCATCTGCCCCCTCTGCTGCTGTCTTCCCCAGGCTTGCTCTGCATCCAGCTGTGCCTCAACATTGACAAGAACACCGATGTACCTTTCATCAGACTCAAAGAACACAGGACAGCCAAGGTTGAATACATACCATTGATTTTGCAGCCCTGTGGTGAGACACTGCTGCTGGTAAGAGGTATGCTCAAAAAGATCACCATAAAAGATTTTAAAAACCAAGACAAAATAGAACACACAATTGAAAAGATATTTTTTGTTTGTTTTTGAAGGATGGAGCAGGTGGTGAGAAGCTAATGGAGAGAAAATAAACCCAAAAAACCCAGTTCCCAGACCAAGTAGCAGGGAGTAGTATAACCAATGCCAAAACCCCTCTTTTTGCAAATAGACTATTCTAAATTACCAAAAAGAAATGCAAAATAGTATTTTCTTACTGAAAAAGAGTTATGTCTTTTATCCTGTCAGATAACACACAGTTCCCAAAGAAAAATCTTTCACCAGACTGCCCTTAAGCATCATCCTAGTGGACTTCTTCATCACAACTTTTATGCATTCATCAGTATTTGTTTATGAATGTATTTGTTCAAGTTGATGTCCTCTCCCTGTAATGTTCACTCTACCTGCACATCTGTAGCCACCTGGTTAGGAGTTCAACTCCACATCACTAATGCTAAACCAAATGGTCTCACGCTCTGAAAAATGCCGAATTTCCACAAATGTCTCATTAACTAATTATGCAATTAACTAGAATCAATCATCTTGGACAATAAAAAAACCTAGTTATGGAGCAATCTCAAATTGGTTAGTCTGCCAGTAATAAAATAGACTGTTGCTTTTAACCAAATGGGAATATCCAGAGCAAATAAAAGGCCTATGTCTCAACCCAAGCACACTCAGTCCATCCCAGGTCCTCCTTCACCCTTGATCCCTGCCCAAACTAAGTCAGAGACATGCCTGTGCCTCACACTTCCAGCAAGCTCAAGTCAGAGCCTGAGAGCATCTTCCACAAAAGTAGATGAACTTCAGGAGTGCGTAGGTAGGCATGCAGCAGTCTGCCAGTTTGATATTTATGTCACAGGTAAGCTACAGAAGCTTAGGTCTGGAGTTACCAGTCTCAGATTTAGGAGAAAGCCAAATTAAAGACAAACAGCAGAAGAAACAGAAAATTTGCCTGACAGTTGAAAATAATACCCAGAGACTAAGGCAACACTTAAAATATTCATTTAGGGAAAAGAAATCTAGCCCAGCTGTAAAATATTCTTACTTATTCTGCAGAAAAGCCTCGGCAGCTGTTCACAGTTTAGCAAATGCATAAACAAAATCTGACATATCAAACCAAATCTGAGACAGCGCAAATTAATTTCAGAGCCAAAAAGACTACAAATAAAAACGCCAGTGAGAGTTCTCATTTATTATATAAAAATTTTAAGAAGTACTGAAAGATGCCATGAGAGGCTTATTACCACATGCAATTTTGATTTTTAAAAGCTAACCATATAAACAGTAAAACACAGGGTAATTGAATTCAGAATATGCTGACATTGCTGAGTCAGTTGGGAACTATGAGCAAACAAGATGCTTCCACTGGAGTTTTGCAGCAATCAATTCAAGACCTGTTGCCACTAAGCATTGCATCAATACTGGAGATGAAAATGGATTTTAAAGGTTAGTGGCAATAATATTGGTGGTTGGCAGGAACTGAGAGCATGGTAAACAGGAAAAGGGCAGTCAGAGAGTGATCTGTCTCACCTAATGCAAAAAAAAAATAAAAATAAGAACAAGCACTTCTTGTATCAGCTAGGAAGATTCAAGTAGAAAATACTTTCTTTTAATAATGAACCACAAGACTCTGAGGCACACAAACAGATAGGAACATCTCTCTGGAAGCATCTAGATTTAGTACATAATTTCAGAATCACAGAATCTTCAGAGCTGGAAAGGACCTACAAAGATCATTTAGTCCAACTCCTGGACTTGCACAGGACATCCCTGAGAATAACACACTGTGCCTGAGTGCATCGTCCAAATGCTTCTTGAACTCTGTCAGGCTTGGTGCCATGACCACTGCCCTGGGGAGCCTGTTCCAGTGCCCAACCATCCTTTGGGTGAAGAAACTTTTTCTAATATCTAACCTAAACCTTACCTGACACAACTTCAAGTCATTTCCTCAGGTCCTGCCACTGGTTGTCAGAAAGAAAAGATCAGTGCCTGCCCCTCCACTTCTCCTCACAAGGAAGTTGTATACGGTGATTTATGAAATGTCTAACATCTGAGCAGACATCCTGAGGCAGAATGCACTGATTATTATGATTTCATACATGATTATGAAAGAATATTCATAGTCAAGCAGCAAGAATGATCAAGGGGATAGAAAAATTCTCATGTGGAGAAAGTGAGAAGCCACCAGGATGGATTACGTGAGGAAAAAGACATAGAACAGCTATAATAAAATATTCAACAATGCATTAGTAACAGTGCAGCAACTTCCTTTCTGTCTGACCACTAATAAGGTGTTCTTCAAGTAAAGCTGAATTCAAAATTATGAGGAAATTTTCTCAGCATAGGAAATGTTACACATGGACTCAGTGCCACTAAAACCTCTGATGCCAAAGCAGACACAAAATCCTGACACATCAGGATTCAAAAGAATATGTTCATAGAGGCATTCATCATTCTCTTGGTGACCTGCTGCCAAACCTCCGCTATGGACTTGAGATGACATGTCGTACTGAATTCGCTCCAGAAATAAAATCAGTACGGGTGATGGCAGAAAGATCACAAAATTGCCAGACTTCAGAGACAGTGCTTGCTTTGTAAGCTGATGGTACTGGCTTACAAAACCATCCAGCAGGAAGGCTCAATGTCTCCAAGAACTGTGCCAAAGGAGAGTAATTTTAAGCCTGTTGCTGTTGTTATGTACCCTGCAGATATGTTGCAACAGCAAGACCCCAGTAAGCATTGAGAAAGCCTCCAGGTGCACAGCACTGTCTTGCTACAGCTCTGTGTGGAATAATAGCTGCTTCTCTGTCCTATACCACTCAAATGAAGCCCTTAACATATGGCTCCTTGACAAGTGTGGGCATTCTCTTCCTTGCCCTAGCTGCAGCTCAAAGTCCCAAACACTGGAACTGTGACGATGCCTTTTTCCTGACATCACAGGACCATAAGTAGTAGCTAGACTTTCTCTTCATCCTACCCTGCTGCTTACAGCTTGCAATCCTATTAGCAACAGCAACCCAAAGTGGGCTGTGAGACTTCACGTAACTTATTTATAGCTGAAGTTTGTCTTGTCTTTGAGAAAAGTAATCCAGAATAGATTATTTAAAAAGAACTATAAAAACCAAACCAAATCCAAAAACATCCCCGCTCTACTCAAAAGAGTTCATTACTGTTTTCACATTCCTGACAATACTGTGACAGTAACTAAAAACTGAAAGTACATAGTTTCCATAGTAATTGTTAAAATGCCAACTTGTCACCTAAGTAATTTAAAAATAAACAAAACACTCTAAGTAGTGAGGGTATGAATTCAGCACAGTTTACATTCCACAGGGGTTATCCACAGGCAAAGGGGATGATAGCTCAACAGCAAACTGATACTC